GTGCCACTAGTTTACTTGAAAAGTACAAGCGAGGGACTAGGGAAACAGAAGAAAAGAGAGAAAAGTCAGAAAAATAAAGGATGGGTTAATGAATGGGGGGAAGGGCTGAATCCCTTTGGGGACCTCTGAGGAATCTTGTGGAATGGGCCTCAGCATTGTCCTCCTGAGGGATGGGGATGGGTATTTATCTGTGACTCTTTTAGGGCTGCCCTGTTCTGGACTGAGCAAGATCCTGGGCTGTTGGAGGAAGCTCTTAGAGAAAGCAGACGAGCCATGTGAGGTGGGAAGCTGCCGGCTCCTCTGCAACCCTCCACCACAGCTGCATCCGAAGCCAGAGGGTCTGGGGTGGGCAACACCGTGTCTGCTGCAGAGGGAATATGCGACTCTAAAACAAGGGAGGATGGTGGCTTTAATTATGGTGATGGCATTGGATGGGGAGAGAAGTAGGCAGGATTGAGGTATTTTGGGGATGTTGAAGGTGATCAATGGTGTAGAGTCAAAACTCTTTCTTTTTCCCCTCTCTCCTCTTTCATTCCACCAATATGTGCTGCTGTGTTCTAGCTTCCCAGGGGTGAACACTGAGGCTGAGTCTATCAAACATGCTGTGAAGGAGTGTCCTTGCACCAGTACCACTGGAAAGGAGAGAACAGATGCAGGAGTGGGCAAAGGGAGAACCACACAGCCTCAGCCAACCCCACAGGGCGCTCCAGACCTAGACCTGCCCTTCAAGGTTGTCCTGGGGCCTGGATGCTGGACCTCCATCCATCCAAGGATGTGGGCCAACCTGGGAAGGGCCTATGGGACTTGGCCCAGGCAGCTCTCTTCAGCTGAGGCAGTTGCCGTCACAGCATCCATCACACTTGTGAAGAGTCTCTGCGTGTCAGGTACTGTTGTAGATTCTGAGTGTATAGCAGTGAATAGGGCCAGGTGAGGGAGAGACAACAAACAAATATATAACATCAGGCAGTGAGAAGTGCAAAGCAGAAAACCAAACAAGGTTAGCTGAATGGTCGCTGGATAGGGAGGGTGAAGGTGGGGATGGAGGTGATAGAAATTTGAAAGTAAAAGCAACCTGACAGTTTAGGGGTGGGGCAGGCTCTCTCTGCCTGCACATCCTTCCCAAGCTCCCTCCTGAGCTTCCAGCTGTCCCATCTCTTGGCCACAATTCCCAGCCTCTTTGTAGGAAGTCAGGGCAGCCCCACCTCCGGTGAGAAATCTTTCTTGTTTGCCAGTGGCCTGGGATTTTAGTAGTTGGAGAATGGTGCAAAGGGCAATAACTGGAGATTGGCACGTCTCCCTGCTTCCACTGGCTACCGCCTTCCACCCAGAACAGCTGGCACAGCCTGGGGCCTGATCATTAACTGGGGGAGGGGGGCAGACTGGCAGAAGGGGTGGCTGGGCCCAAGCACAGAGGCGCGCGCGTGCATGTGTGTGTGTGTGTGTGTGTCCCTGCCGTTCCCTTGCTAAGCCCTTCTCACCTGGGCACGTGCCTGAGGGGGGCATGGCGCTGCCCCTACTGGGGATCAGGGATGGGGGAGGTGCCCCCAGCCAGGAGCACTCCAACTGCTGCCCTGACCCCCTCCTCAGTCCGGCCGCCAGTCGTGGATCATTGCGGATCATTGCGGCCGGGAGGGCAGGTGCCAACTCAGCCAGGGCATGAGCGCGGCGGCTCATAGACCGTAGGGCAAGGGCTGGAGAGTGAGCTCAGATCGCCCGCGGTCATTGGGCGCAGCATCCCAGGCAAGGTCGCAGCTGGCCCAGAGAGTGGTGCTCTGCCCTGGGCTCCGGCCGGTGACGCATTTAGCATCGAAACAAAACAAACCCACAAAAAATACTGAGTCAGTTGGCGACCAGTCCCTGTTTCTGACACCTTGGGTCGGCTTCCTGGTGACCGCCAGAATGAAGCTGCAGCAGGGCTGGATGGAGACCTTTGGAGGCGGCAACACTAGCCCACAATATGAAATAAAAGCCATACTGGCTGGTAAAATAAGTGTAGAGAAGACAAAGAAAGTTCTAACTTCTGATAGTGGTGGTGATGAGGCCAGAGCTCCTCAGGCCCTGGGTTGAGGGGTGCCTTCTCCTCTTTTTCCCTCTCTGGCTTCCTTCCAGCTGGGCAGACAGAGGCCACTGTGACTTTTTAGGGTTGCTGCATTTACCCAACAAAGTACAGGACACCCAGTTAAATTTAAATTTCAGATAAATGAACAATTTTTTTTAGTATAAATATATCTCACGCATTATTTGGAACATACCTATATATCCTTATACTAAAGTAATTCATTATCTAAAAGTCAATGAATTTTAAAAATATAAGTATGTCCCAAATAATACATAGGCCATACTAAAAAAAAAAAAAAAGCTGGTTATTTATCTGAAATTTACCTGAAATTCAAATTTAACTGGTGTCCTGGATTTTATCTGGCAACCCTCCTTGAAAGTCACATCTTCCTTGGCCCATCAGGTCCAGGGAGTCAGGAAGGGTGGGCAGAGCCCTCAGGCCTTTTGCACCCTTCCCCACCCCACTCCCAACACTGTGAGTGTGCCTCAGGCTGCTTCTGAGTTCAGGTTCTTGCACAAAGGTGAGTGGTGGATGTTGAATTAGGAATTAGATGACCTGGGCTCTGAATCCCCGCCCTTCCAACACTGAGTTAGGCACAGTTAGTCTCTCTGAGATGAGGTCCCTCATCTTTAAGTGGGTGTAACAGCAGGTATAAAGCCTGCCAGATGAACATGTGGCTGGCACATTATCCATCCTAGTACCTTCCATCTGTGTATTTTAAGAAGCCGAGAGCAGCAGTCTCAAACTCAGGGGGCCGTGTGGGGGTAGGGTAAGTGAGATGAGAGCAGTCCCCCAAAGGGCGTCACCCATTGAGAGGGGAGGGGGCAGCTGCAATCTGGCTCCAGATGGTTATTGCCACATGGTAAAGTGAAGTCAGATCTTACAGTTTTTAAAAACAGTCTAGATACATGGACTTTCACAAAAAAAAATGATTTAAAAATATTGGCAACTGATTTATATTTTTCTTTAAACATTTTAAGCACCGTGCAGCCCTAACTAAGAAATGAAACCTTAAAGTTACATAGTGTTTACCGTGTGCTAGGTATGATTCTAAGAGCTTCATGTGTATTAATTCACCCAAATACCCAATGAGGTAGATACTATTATGATTCCCATTTTGCAGATGAAGACACAGTGGCACAGAGAGGCCACGAATGAATGCCATGTTTGGCCTGAAGGCACTTAGTTTGTTATCTTTGAAGACTGTTCCTCTCTGAGCTTGCCTGGCTTTAGTTATGCTGAGCTATACTGAAGGCAGCACAATGGCTAAAATCACCAGGGGTGAGAGAGACGGGGGTTCAAGGCCCAGCCTGTTCACTTTCTTCCCAGCTGCGAGGCACTGTGCTGGTGAATGTCTAACAGCTAGGTCTCCAGGGAGTTGCCCATGGCCGTGGCGTAAATACTCCCACCAGAGCCGATTTGAAGCTACCAGGTTGCTGTCACTGAATGCTCCATCAGGGTGAGATGGACCCAATCAGCTCTAGCATATCCCTGCTGCTATGTGACCTCCAATGAGCTGATCCACATTTACTGCCTCCTTGCCTGTAAGATTGAAATCTGACCCCCTACCTCTTGAGGTGAGACGTGGAAAAATTACACGAGTAGTGTGCTTGCACTCAGCCTAGCTCTCAGTAACCAGTAGCTGTTGTTATAGTGATTGCGTCCTGGTGTAGATACTCTCCTTTGTCACGAGGCTTTGGCCTCATGCTCACGTACATAGCAGGTGATTAGCAAAGACTGAATGAATCATTTTCCTTATGCTCTTCACTTACTGAAATTCTCCCTCTTCTTTAAGCCCAGGCCAGTTCTGCTTCTTCCATGATGCCCTCCTGATTGCTCTTACCCACACAGCTTCTCCTTGCCTCAAACTCTGCCAGTTTAGGTGGGAAGGTCTTTGACCAAGGAGGAGGGGAAGCCCAGAGCATAGGTGCACCCAAGCAGCTACCTCCAGGGGCAGCAGGCTGGCCTGATTGCAGAACCTAGGACAGGTGTAAAAGCCTTAGGTAAATCTTGCACCTTCTCTGGCAGCAAATTACTCTGCCTATGAAATCATAGTGGTTACACCTTTCCTGTCTCCCCGGTGGCTCAGGAGCAAATAAGTGGCCGCTGAAAGAGGAAAACATGTTGAAAGTTAATTTATGACATATTTGTGATACTAACTCTTCCTGCCTCTCTGTACTTTCAGTTTTCTCGTCTGTAGAATGGGAATAATAACCATTGCTATCTCATAGGGGTTTTATGAGGATTAAATGACAATTTATGCAAGGTACTTAGGACAGGCCTGCTGCATATTACATATTATGTATGTCAACTATTATTATTATTATAAATAATATCAAGGGGTGATAAACTGTCAGCTTGGAAGTCCCTTTCAGGAGTTGGGGCGGGGCAGTTCTTTTGAATGATATTCTGTTGGTGTTTCCTCCTTGCTGGGTACTCAGAACCCAAAGTCACTGGGGGCTTGAATTTACCTCTCCCCATGCCCCACAGAGACCCCTTTGCACGTGCACACCTCACATGCTTTGGCTCCTGAGATTTCAGGGACAGTGGTGGGGGGTTGGATACCCTGTCTGTGATTGTGGCCTGAAGAGCACAGAGATACCTCCATCCAAATACTTCTTCTTTTTATCCAGAAATATTTTATAAGCCCAAAGTATGCCCTAGGCCTACACTAGACTGGTTCTGATCTCAGTGGAGGTGACATAAATATCATGATAAAGTGCTGGACTGGAGTCGTAAAACCTGAATTTAGAGTGTGACTCTGCCAGTCTTTGCCTGAGTGCTCTTAGACAAGTTATTCAGTCACTCTGAGCCTCGATGATCTCATCTGTAAAATGGAGAGATTCAGCATGATCTCTGAATGTTTTTTCTATTTCTAAAGTACTGTGTGTTCTTTCGCCCTCTTTCTGTTTGGTCCTGGGCATCAGGAGAGATGCAGGAAGCTGGAGTTGTAAGGACCTCCTTCTTGGCTTCCATTCACCCAAGACGTCAGCATCTGACTGGCAGGAATCTATAAGGGACAGATTGCTGAGGAATAGAGAGGTCCTTAGCCCATTTATGAGGAGCAGAGAACAGCAATGGTGGGAGAGAACCAATGGCAAGAGAAGAGGAGGTGGCAGAGAATGGCTTAAGAGCTTCTGGCACATGACCGTGGTGCTCCTTTGTACTTTGCTCCGCATCCCTCCATTTGGGAAACTGTCATTCCCCACACATGTGTTGCAGGTGAGGCTATTATGGAGCTCTGCCCATCCCTGCTCAGAAGTGGAGATATGACCCAAGCTGAGATTATCAGTCATTTTCAGGGGCCAATATGGATGACGAGGGAGACAGCAGCAGATTCCTTTCTATGGCTTCATTAGCTGTGGGAATGAGGTAAGTCTGGAACTATTTGGAACATCTTTGATGTCACGTGGAGACAGGCTGTCAGAAAATGGAGCAAACTCAAGGAAAAGCAAAAATAGAAACAGAAGGTCCTAGTGACATAATTTGAGCTCCTGGATATAGCCATACCTAAAGCCAGCCCCACCCTTGGATTTCCCATTTATTTATACCAATACATTTTCCTTTTGATTATTCCAGTTTGAGTTGGATTTCTATTGATTGTGATTGACAGAGTTCTGGCAAATATAGAGTCCAGTAAATATAGTAGCACTTCAGGATGATATACTAGATCCTTTCTACTCAAAGTGGCCCAAGGACTAGCAGCATGGGCATTCCCTGGGAGCTTGTTAGAATGTAGAATCTCAGGTCTATCTAAGACCTCAGAACCTGCATTTTAATAAGATCCTGGGTTATTCATATATACATTGAAGTTTGAGAAGCATTACTCTAGACCAATGGCTCTCAGCTCTAGATGCACCTTTAAAAGTCCCAACACCCAAGCTACACCCCAGACCAATTAAGTCAGAATCTCTGGAGGTGGACCCTGACCGCTGCATTTTTAAAAGCTCCCTGGGAGATAACAGCCAAGGTACAGCCAACGTTGAGGCTCATGGCTCTGGTGTGATTTCCTTGATGGGAGCTAAAAGATCTGATGCTTCGTGATTTAGCTGAAGCCTGTTTCTGTGGTGGGCACAGCAAAGGGAACTTGGTGGTGTTGTCCCTTAGAAATGACGTGGGAGCTGCCCCTGCCTGGTAGAGGGGCCAGACTGGGCTGTAGCCACAGACAGAACTCACAGGCACCCCAAGGGCATTGTACCAAATCCCAGAATACTTTCTTCTCCTACTACCATAAAATATCTTCCCTTCCTTTGAATTCATAACCCAAGACTACAGAAAAATCTCTTAAGCTTTAAAAATTCAAGTCTCTTTGACACAGGGACTTGAACATTACCACAACCTGAATCCCAAATTGAACCCAAATACTATTTTTTTATTGAATCATGGACTACCCCCAAAATATGTTGTGTTTCTATTTCCTTCTAAAACATCATCATTGTGGTAAATCAGTTCACTCTGGAACTAATCCAGATGCTTTCTAAAACCAGGCAACTAGAGGAAAATGGGGATATCAGAATATTCTCTGAATTGAACGTGAGCAAAATTCT